TCATTCGAATGCCGGCATCTTGAAGTGACTGGAGTATCCTGGGATTACGGTGCACGTTAATTAATATTACAACATTTCTTAAGTAATGCCTTCGAATTGACAAACTATTCGGTGATTCGATTGATATTTCATGAGATAGCACCTCTGCTGTGAGTTGACGCTTCGCGAAAATTTAAGCCGCATAGCCGTATTACCTCAAACAATAACCAAGTTACTCCCTTTTGGGTTCTTTGGATATGTGTTATATAATATTCTGGCGCGACTTCCAATTTTAAGTCTTTTTTTTTCTTTTGATCTTCCGATTGATTTCAGCCAGCCGTACTTCTGTGGTTTCTTGTCAAGGCTTCCAATTATATGACTTTACTGTAGAGACTCGAATGCATGCCTTGCCACATATGATCTCTTAATGGTTGCATGATGTTAGTTTTTTATCACGTGATATTTTTATCCGAATTCTCGTCTCATTGCGAAAAACAGAGCTTTCAGGCAAATATCGTAGTTTTCGCAAACGCCATTTTAATTAGCCACAAATCAGCATTCCGCTTTCCATTTTTTGTACATTTTATTGACTTGCTGACTTTTAGTCGTCCTTTCATATCTAATAGGGGCATAGATTGACTTTCATTGCAAATTTAAATATACATGTTATGTCCCTTCCATCAATTCACACAGCTAGGCACTCTTCTCGAGCCGTCCAAAGGTTATTTTCCTATAAAAAGTTCTTTCTAGGCCTGTGCATGATTATTATGCATACACTTTTCTTTGTGAGGCGCATTTTTGGAGAGGAGGGCCTGGCTATGCAACAGGGCATTTTGGAAAGCGCAGATTTTCACATGTTTGTCAAGAAGATGGACGGCGTGAAGATAACAAGGACCTTATCTCGGTTCCTTCAACGTCTCGGTCTGTACAAATGAACAAGACCAACTTCTGAGACAGGATGCTGCAATTCGATTTCCTCTATTTTCCTTCAAAAATAAACGCAAGCGGCACTTGTTTCCTTACCAGTTGGCGTGTTCCTGTGAAATATTCAATTATGTCATGGGTTAGGTTTCAAGCGCTGATTGTTCAAAGGGAATGAAAGCTCAAAAATCGATTATTACTTCGCTCAACTTAAAAAAGCCTCGGTTTCCTCGATCTCTTGGACAATGAAAGCCTAACGAGTTGCAAAAGTTTCAAGTGGAAACTATGGCATGGATTAACTCAGATACGGCAAGATTGTCGCATAGGAACTGTCTCTAATAAACCAGTAGATTTTGATCGATAACACGTCAACATGCTGGAACAAGCACCCTTTCCATTCTCCGCTACTTATATAGCATAAGTACAGCAGTGGGTTAATTTAAATTCTGAGCAACCGTTTCTAGGTGGAAAATTAGCCTACGCTCAATAACCAGCTCTGTCCATTTCAAGGTTTAGTATATAAAGCATAAAATTGAATTTTTCCTCCCAAGCAAACTATATTTAAATTAAGCTTTGTAACAAGTAAGCTTACAATTGTTACCGACTGGGGTTAACACTTCATCACATATCGTCTTCAGCTGCAATGTTTAGCGCATTGAACTCCGTGAAAAATTGGTCGTGAACGCTGACCTTGGATCCTCTTGAGGGTGCTTGTATACGCTGGATTTTAACAGTTTTCCATTGCTTCTGTAGTTTATGTGACCCCTGGTAGGTGTCGATCAGGATGGCGATGAAAATGACAAAGAATGCAATGGAAGCGGGTACGCAACTCTGCTTCACACTATGGTTCAACACGAATGCTTCAGAAAATGCTCCGATGTCCGTGATGGGAATCATCATCCCGTGATGGGGCCGTTTTAGCTCTTGAGTTAATTACTCAGAACATACAAATTTCAGAATTCTCTTTCAAAATCCATCGCGATTAACTGGATCGAAGGTCTTCGTCAGATCAACAGACGTGGTTTCGATTTTGGTCCATTTTCCTCTCTTCCCTGTAGTTGGTTAGAGGCGAAATCCACGTCCTCATCCGTCGTATTTTCGGAGACCGCACTGTTTCAGAAAGGATACCCGACTCTGGATGCCTGTCCAGGTAGTTGAGTAAAACACATGCGAAGATGCTTCCTACGAGCCTGAGAAATTAGACACCCCTGTATATATGCACGATCGTAGCATATGTGAAGGTTTGGGGTATGCGGTCTTGTCGCCACACCTCTGATCTCGCTAAGTTATTTCTTCCCGGTATTTCCGGGCCGTCTTATTTGCAACCTTCGTCGGCAGTCACATCTAGCCCATATGCTTTTCGAGTAAACACCTTTTTTACTGTCCTGATCGCCCCAGAGATGAGAAGCGAATGATCGCGGCCGTCCTCGTTGTCCAGTTACGACGTCCGTTGACGGCTTATTCGCATATACTGAATTTACGGTTAAGAACCCCCCGAAAGTTGGCCACTCAAGGCTCCGGCATCTGTGAGTTCTGCGTTTGGAGGGTTCACAGTTACATAGTCTACTTGAAAGGATGACCGTAGGTTGCTCTGATTGCGTGAATAAGTTCTTAATTGATGCTGTAACTTACCATACTAACAGCCTAGGTACTAGCTAAAAGGCTCAGACACGTGTTCCGCCAGTATTCTGCTGCTGCCTGACATAGCTGCGAGGGGTCCGGCTCATTAGTGGGTCCCCAGCTTCCCTTCTTTGCTTTCTGGTTGACATGGCGGTTTTGAAAGTTCTGCTATTTAATGTCCCTCGAAATTAATTTCTGTTCGCGGTATACATCAGTATATTTAGCGTCTAAAAGTTTAGACCAAAATTTTCAGTGTGTATTTGGGCTGAAACTTATCAGCCATTTCGCCCGTGGTACATCCCTGGATTTTTTCAACACTGTCAAACAGTCAGTCGATCTGGGATTGAGGATGA